TAAAGTGGGTGGGCTTGACGCTGTTCCAGTGCAACACTTCTGGAAGTGAAGGATTTGCTGGCTGCACACTGTTGCCCAGGGGACGCCCAAGTTTACTCACAGTTCATTTCCACCCTTCAGGGAGGCTCCTTCTACGTCCCCCATAATAAATAATATGAAATGGGTTTCAAAGCAAAGGCTTTAACTAAAACAAATCTATTGCTTGAATCACAGGTAGCCCTCAGGTAGGCTCAGTTGAGAAAACAGAAGGTTTAGCTTCATCCTCCGCTTGAATCACAGGTAGCCCTCAGGTACTGTAGGCTCAGCTGAGAAAACAGAAGGTTTAGCTTCATCCTCTCCCCAACAAATGCTTAATGTTTTGACACACTCACAAAAGGTTGATGCCATACGCTTGTTGGCTTGAAGCAGTGGGACCCAGATGTTCTTAATTTACAACTCCCTGATATCCCAGCCAGCACAGATAGTGGTGAAGACTTCTGGCCCCAGCCAGCACAGATAGTGGTCAAGACTTCTGGGAGTTTTAGACCAGGAACATCTGGGGACCCAAGGTTGGGAACCGCTGGGAAGGGTCAGAGAGGCCTGAGAATAATTTTAGGGCAATAGATATCTGTGAGAGCAACCTGAGCATCTCCTGAACCCTGTGTAGTGCCACAGAATTTCTCTCTCTCTAACTGGAATCTGACCAGTTTAAAAACAACAGTGTGGCTTTGCCTGAGATTAACTAGCAAGTCCATGGCTAATGCAAAATGTGAATCAGAGATTATTTCTCTGTCGGGAACAGGAAGAAGAGATATTACAGGAATGGTATGTTTGTGTGGGTAGAAATAAAAGCTTGCGGAAGAAATAGGATGTTGAGGAAAGCCGTGGCTGTGGGGACTGTTCTAAGGCACAGGCTGCCGCCTGGCAGGGCAGTAAAAGGGCAAGAGTAGTGAGAGGACAGAAAGGCAGCGATGGTTATGGGAGAAGTGTGCAAACTGGCTAAATAGGGCAACACTTTTAGACTCAAACTTGCTTTAGCATGAGCAGAGGTGGCTGTAATTGTCCCTGCCCCCAGGGAACTGCTGCCACCCACACAGAGTTATGGTAGGTTCTCTGTCTCTCGTGCAGTTTAATTGCAAGGGAGGAAGAAGAATAAGATATTGAGCAGCAAACAGCTAGACATCCAACTTTGCAGAGGGCAGTTTTCAGTGTCCCAAGTATGATGAAGACTCTAAGAAAGGGGAGAAGCCCAGGGCCTTGAAGTTGCCCTCAAGACTTAGTAGCTGAATAGCAGACTGAGCCAGTAGGCTTAAAGATGTATTGTTTTTCTTTCTAAATTATAGTCACTTCTAAGTGTGTATCTCTGCATATAAACGTGCATGCATGTATGTATCCTATTTAAATTACAGTAAACAAGTCTAAATTTGTGTTTATATATATGCCAACTAGTATATGCAAAAATTACACAAATGGCTGTCCTCTTTTGCCCCTCCTCTTTTTGATGTGTTTATTTGATGCTTTATATAAGTGGCATAACTGGATGGATAATGCAGTGGGTTAGGTATCTGGTTGCTGAGGCAGAGATTGGGAGTTCAATTCTCCACTGTGCCTCCGACCCGTGTGGCTTTGGGCGAGCTGCATAGCCCCAGGGCACCCTCAGAAGAAGGGAATATAAACCATTTCTGAGTATTCTCTACCAGAGAAACCCTGAAAAGGGTCACTATAAATTTGAATTGACCTGACAGCACAATATTATTATTATAAATGGCATACCATAACTGAATAGCAGGTGAAAGGCAGAAGTGAAGGGTTTGACCAATGTTGGTCAATTGAGGGAGAGTATTAGTAAGATTGTATGATATTTTCTTTGCTTCAGCACAGGAGTCAGGCTGAATTGGCCATGGACCCTATTCCTGCACAGTAGTGTTGAATAATCAAGGATGTGCAAATTGCCCTCTAGATATTTGTGAACTACTATTCCTATCATCCTTCACCATTAGTCAGTCTAGCTGGTGCTGATGGGTACTAGAGTCCTGTGATATTTGGATGGCTTGAGTCATGCTGCCATTATAAATGGCATACCTTAACCGAATTGCAGGTGAAAGGCAGAAGTGTTGGCAACAGAGGCCTGTAACAGTGGTTCCCACTTGGTTAACCCAGGTGTTCTTAGACTGCAGTTCCCAGAAGCCTTCACCACCAGGTGTGCTAGCCAGGGTTTTTGGGAATTGCAGTCCAAGACCACCTGGTTTGACCAATGTTGGGAACCACTGCTGTAGGACATTGAGGGAGAGTATTAGTAAGATGTGCATGATAATATTTTCTTCCTTCCTTCCTTTACACTGCCTCTTGCTTTGAGAGAGAATGGGATGGAGGTAGTTGGTAGATGTCGTGAAGCTTGTGTCAACTAAGGCAAATCACATCACGCTCTAGATTCATCCTTTTCCCCCTTTAATGGAACGAGTATGTAAAACGCCTTATAAAGAACAAGTATGACAGGTCAGTATCTCAAAGGAGAGTCAACTAGCTTTGCATTAAATTGCACAAACCTGAGCTGAGGGGAAAAAATTAAGGATAGGTAACTCTGTTGGTCCTGAAAATTGTTACGCCTTCATAAAATTTTGTTCCCACCCTCCCCAGAGCTGTGGAAGTAGAGACTTTCTGGCTGTTCAGGAGAATCTTTTGGTTTCCAGCAGTTCCTTTTTTGTACTGACTGTGCACCCCCTTTCTGTTCTTTGGGCCTTTTCTCCCCACAGTTTTTCAGTTCTCCACCCTGCCATGAAAAATATAATCCCCACAGGTGGGAACCATATTACTCAGTGCTCTGTATAACGCCTAGCATTTCAGAGAGAAATTAATGCAGAGTCAGGTAAAGTGTGAAAGATTCTGCCAACTGCTACCCATGTAGACACATTTGCACAACTCATAGTACCGGGCCAAATCTTACGAACTCGCATCTTGAACAAGAGCTTGGAAGAGCTCACTTTCCGGACTACAACTCCCAGAAACCCCAGTCAGCATAGCCCTGCTAGTTGTGGAATTCTAGGAGATGTAGTTGAAACAGTAACTTTTTGAAACCAGCTCTGAGCACTTCACTGCCTTTACCCTTCCTCACTTCCTTTGCCTTTGTGGATTGTTATGAAGGTCACTTTTATTAGTTCTGTGGTGTTTATGAGCTGCCCTGAAGATTCTGAGAAGACTTTATAATCACCAAACATGCTACTTATATGAGCTGGAAAGTTGAGTCTTCAGTATAATGCAGTGATGCCTGTTTGTCATAGAACAGCACTTTGAATTGAGGCTGTGGATGTTCATGGCCACTGGGCCATGCCATCTGGGGAATCAGGTAGGCAGCAGCACGTGGCATAGATTGGCTTGCCTTCAGCTTCATTGGTGGGGTTGGCCAGGGCCAGATGTGTTGCCTCAGCACAGGAGTCAGGCTGAATTGGCTATGGACCCTATTCCTGCACAGTAGTGTTGAGTGATCAAGGATATGCAAATTGCCCTCTAGATATTTGTGAACTACAGTGGTGCCTCGCAAGACGATTGCCTCGTGGGACGATTAATCCACAAGACGATTAGTTTTTGCGATTGCTGTTGCGCTTCGCAAGACGATGTTTTCTATGGGCGATTTTCGCAAGACGATGATTTTTCCCCATTGGAACACATTAGGTAGATTTCAATGCATTCCAATGGGGAACCGCGTTTCGCAAAATGATGTTTTCTATGGACGATTTTTGCAAAACGACAATTTCCCCATTGGAACGCAAATAGATTTCAATGCATTTCAATGGGGAACCGCGTTTCGCAAGACAATGTTTTCACAAGACGATGTTTTTCACAGAACGAATTAACATCGTCTTGTAAGGCACTACTGTACTATTCCCATCATCCTTCACCATTAGCCAGTCTAGCTGGTGCTGATGGGTACTAGAGTCCTGTGATATTTGGATGGCTTGAGTCATGCTGGCAGGAACTAGTTGTCCCATCGTGGGCTGGGAAGTAAAAGTGAGGGTGGAGCTGAGTTGATTTCTGATAGCTCTGGTTCCCTAACCGGCTGAGCCTCATGCCTGCCCTGTGACTGTTGCTTACTCTCTCCATCCATCCACCCACTGAATTACTGTAATTGCCTTTCTTTCTGTTTAGTTCTCCTTCTTCCCAGGCATCCAACATTGTTGCGGAACTGGTGCTTTTGCTTGGAAGGCGGTGACGAGAACGTACTATTTACTATAATAACATCTTCCATCTCGTTTGCAATAAATTAGCAGAAGTATGTGTGCCGTCTTGTTGCCTGATTTTAGGATTCGTGGCTTGGAGCCTCTGTTCCTTGACCTTCCTTTGCCAAAGGCAGTGCTTCTGTGCATAGAGATCATAACAATTGTAAGTTCACCATATATCTTGCCGCATCGAACTCGCTTCAAACTCCGGTGTGTTCGAATTCGCAGTTTCAGCCCTCTGCCTTTAGGCTATTCTGCTCTTCTTGCAAAACGCCAGAATCTGACTAACCACAGAAAAGCCCTGGGATTTGGTCTTCCCTCATTATAGGAACACCAGCTCAGACTGTTTTTTTTATCTAGCCTAGGGTCATCTACTCCAGACAGTAGTGTCTTTCCTGGTCTCAGGCTGAAGATTTTTCTGTCTGATCCTTCTAACTGGAGGTACCCAGGAATGAGCATGTATGCAAAGAAGGGCCCATTGCTTTCACCTCCTTTCTCTGCTGCTTTGATTCTAACTTCCTAATACTATGTCATTAGAAGGTGCTATGCTTTCTTTTGTTGTTTCATTGTGTTTTAGTGGAGTTTATTAAGAACACAGCATTAGCTGGTGACTGTGGGAGTTTGAGGATTGTAGTACTGTACAAAAAAGGAACTTTTGCCAAACTTTGGTGTCCCCTCCCATTGCTTTTATGATTTAACTGCATTTGTTGCAGTGATTTTCTCATTGTTGCTTGTGTTGAGTGCCATAATTTGGGAGAAAGTATGGCATGAACCCAATAAATAAATAAATTTCTCCTATTTCTGCAGGATCTGGGGCTTAATTTCCATTCTTTCCTGAGGAGGCCCCTGCGTGCCCCTCCCCATCCCGCTTGGCATGATGATGTGCGAAGTGATGCCCACCATCAATGAGGACAACCGCCGTGGTTCGGCCTATGGGGCCGATGATGCCAACTTTGAACAGCTTATGGTCAACATGCTGAATGAGCGGGAACGGCTGCTGGAGACACTGCGCGACACACAGGAGAGCCTGGCCACTTCACAGCTTCGCTTGCGGGAGCTGGGCCATGAGAAAGAATCCCTCCAGCGACAGCTCAACATTGCCCTCCCACAGGTCAGAAGTGGGAATGTAGCAAGAGTGGGACATTTTAAGCCTGGTGGGAGAAAGGTGCAGACCAGGTGTTGATTGGAAGCTCTCCAATCATTGTCAGCTCTGAAGCTGAGGCATGCAGATTGGTTAGACCAGTGGTTCCCAACGTTGGGCCCCAAGATGTTATCAGACTGCAACTCCCAGAAGCCTTCACCACTAGCTGTGCAGGATTTCTGAGGATGGCAGTCCGATAACATCTGGGGACCCAGTGTTGGGAACCACTGGGCTAGGCTGAAAACTTGGCTTCAAAGAGAGAAATGCTTGTTTTTCTGGTGTAGCTCCTGATGTGATGGTTGTGTTTTGAAGTGTAGGTGGTCATGGTGATGGTCTCTTTAGCCACTCCCTTAATGAAAAGTTTAAAACTCCAGCCAGTTGTGCTGACCTATTTCAAGAAACCAGTTCTAGTGCTTTTCATCTTTAAAGGGATTATGGGAGTGGAAGTCCAAAATGCCTAGAAGAGGCCAAGTTACCTACTGTGCTTCCCCGAAAATAAAACAGGGTCTTATATTTTTGCTCCAAAAATGCATTAGGGCTTATTTGCAGGGGTTTTTTCCCATCTACATCAATCTACCTTTATTCAAATGCAGTCCTGTCATCTTCTTCTGGTGGCTGTACAAGCGTGGAGGGCGGGGTTTCACTTAACTGGGGCTTATTTTGGGGGTAAGGCTTATATTATGAGAATCCTGAAAAATCATACTAGGGCTTTAGAAGGAAATATTTTGCAGTCTCAATAGATCTTAACTCCCTATTCCAGACCAAACTACTGTGAAATAATTTCCATTACAACAGGTATAGATAACAACATGTTTGCTGAAGTCCAGTACCAAGCCACAATTATTGGAATCCTGTTGAGTCATTGGAGATTTTGAGAGTCTGCTTGTGCATAAGTTTCACTGATTCAGTGGCCCTACTCTGGTTATAGCTTATTACTAGATTTCAGCCATTGTTGCTGGGACAGTCCTTTGCTCCCCATCTCCCCAATGTGAGAAGTTGCAACTCAACTCAGAAGGAACAAGGAAGCCTGAATAGAATGACAAATTGCACTACTGCCTCTGTCAATCAAAAAGTCCCAGCATTTTGCCCCTGTGAAATCTGGTTCCACTCAATCCCCTGAGTATCGTGAGGACTCTGTACTCGTGTTTTTCCTGAATGGAGTAGTTAGTGCTCAAATGGCAGGATAGCCAGCTTACTTTCTAATCTATGAGAGCCCCATGAACAACTGGTTAGGCAAGGCTGCTGGGGATGGGGGAATATCAAGATGTAAGAATTAGTAATCAGAGTTTATGGATTTCATTCTGGAACTCATCCCTGCTTTTCCCCCTGTAAGTGGTACATGTTTTTGGATTGCTTTGGCCGCAGTTATTGTACACAAGGGGATTCATGTAGATAAGCAGGGAAGTAGACCAAGCCAAACAGCCAGGAGTCACACAGGTTGATGAGTTGGCAACAAAAATACATCTGATCTCCTCCCTCTTCCCACTGCATCTCTAATTTCCCCTGGTTTGTGCTTGTGAGTGATATCAGCATCCTTGAAGGAGTGTCACAGAGTTTTGTCTTGTTCAAATTGGCTTGCGTAGAGGTACCCTGTTACCCTGAAAATAAGACCTATCCTGAAAATAAGCCCTACTATGATTTTTCAGGATGCTCGTAATATAAGCCCTACCCCCAAAATAAGCCCCAGTTAAGTGAAACCCCGCCCTCCCCCCTTGTACAGCAACCAGAAGAAGATGACATGACTGTATTTGAACCAATGTAGATTGTTGTACATAAAAAAAATCCCCTGAAAATAAGCCCGAATGCATTTTTAGAGCAAAAATTAATATAAAACCCTGTCTTATTTTGGGGGAAGCACGGTAGGTAACTTGGCCTCTTCTAGGCATTTTGGACTCCCACTCCCATAATCCCTGTCAACTGCCCATGTTGGCCTGGGCTGATGGGAGTTGCAGTCCAAAAGGTCTGGCAGTCACCAAGGTGGCTAATTCTGGATTGGAGCCTGGGTATCCTTTCATAGCAGAGTGTGGTGGATATGGCCAATTTCTAGCATCTGGGAATAGTCTGTTATGTAGTCTTGTGGACCTAAGTTGCTCTTACTGAGCCTCTGCTCCGGGCTTATCTTGGATGCATCCAGGAGGAATCAGTGGTGATCTTGCTTTGAAGGAAGGTTGAGGTTGAATTCTTATCATCTCCATCGCGACCAGTTGAGATTTATTTCTCCATCTAAAATCACAGATGATATTGAAGAAGGGGTATTTTTGAAATGAGAGTATACTTGGAAAGTCTGTATTGTTCAGACAAATTAAATCTCACTTGAAATTTGTTATTCTGTACATCTGGGAAGCAAGAGTTGAGCAGGATTGTTGAGAACTGGACATTCTGGAGATTGCTCATAGTGAACCGCCAACCCCCTTTAAGATAACTGAGGGAGCTCAGCAAGGGGGAAAGGCTAAGGCACAGGGAAAGAAGGTGAGGAGATAGTTGGGGAAGATGCAGCAAGATAATGAGGGACACCTGCCTGAGGCAGCCAGGAGCCAGATAAAAAGGAGAGAAGACAGGGCTGTAGGTGGCTGCTGGCCAGCAGAAGAGGAAGCAGAAGGAGAGGGGACCTGGGCTGATGCCCGAGAGAGCGGGGAGGGCTGTTTGGCATTCCCTCACTCAAAGACCACAGTGGACTGCTGGCGGAGCCTCCCTCCAGTTGTCATCCAGGACAGGCAAGGACCAGGGGGAGGAGAAGGCCTGGGCAGCTGGCAACTGCATCTAGGACATTATAAACCCTCTTTGAGCTGGGCATGTTGAGGGACCTGAACTGTGGGGACCCTCCATGAAGATAGTAGAGGATCCCACTGAGGGAGAGGGTGCCCAAGGAATGATGGGTGCCCCTCAACCTGCCTCTTCCAAGGCTGCAGGGGCTCTGCAAAGCTATAGTGCAACTGTAATCAAACACCCTTACATTTAAACCCTGAAATTGAGCCCATGGCGTTTGTGCCAGGGAACCCAGCCATCACCAACTCCGCACCACCGGAGGTTGGCCACACCCACAGCTGCTCTAGATCACCTTGAGACATATGACGTCTATACATTGTATAACCTCTTATCAGCCTCTGCCAGTATGGCAAATGATAGGATGTCCACATCATATTGAGGGTCATAGTTCTCTCCGCGTATGCTGCTGATGGTTTTAGTCTATGGAGTAGTTACATAAGTGGCTTCATTCATTCTGCATGACTGTTGTGACAGTAAATTGTAGATGAGGATATAATCAAGCTGTACCTTGACTGCAGTTCTTGCTACATCTGTTTCTGTCCATCTCCACCCTAAGAATTCATAGTCACAGGTGTGACACCACCAACTCACTGCTGGCAAGTACTGACTTAAAGTTAAATGTTATTTAGACATTGACACCTTGTATACATCGAGACGTAAGTTATAGATGTAGGAGGTGGGATTGTGTGAAGACTTGTAGGTGCTGGGATGCTGTCTGAAAGATGCTCCTTGCCATTTCAGAATGCCAGGGGAAATGGACTGAAAAGATTAGAGTGGAAAATTATATGTCACATATTCATTGGCTGGGATGGAGCCCCCAGGTCTGAATTGCATTTCAGAATCTTGGTGGTGGTAGGGCAGTTCTTTTGTTTGTTTGTTTGTTTGTTTGTTTGTTTGTTTGTTTGTTTGTTTGTTTGTTTGTTTGTTTGTTTGTTTGTTTATTTATTTATTTATTTATTGGATTTCTATCCCACCCATCTAGACCAAAGGTCTAGATGGGTGGGATAGAAATCCAATAAATAAATAAAGGTCTAGATGGGACACAGGTGAAAAATTAAAAGGCCAGTACCAACAGCACCTGTATATTTTAGATTAGCACTCTTCCTGCCAGTGACTAAGCCATTTTCTAATGCTGAAAATAGTAAACAAAACTAAGTAAAAGAAAACTGGGAAACCATCAAATAGTGGTATAATGGAAAGAGGGCATGGCCATGTGATGAACCCCAGGAAGGCCAGATGGGACTCCAGCATGGCTCGATTCAGCACCAGATCCTAAGGCTCCCTGCTGTTGTAAGAGGTAGAGATGTGAAGCAGGTAAAATCCTAGTAAAGGTGATACAGCCTAAGAGATATACAGGTATTACCATCCGGTTTTTATTTTTGCGTGACATACATTATTTTTCGCTTGCACTTCTGTTGGTAGTAAACTGGGTTGTGTAATAACACGAAGTATCTGTTTAAATCCAAAATCTCCACACAGGTGCACACTCAGGTGTTGAATGAGAGAGGTGTGTCTCTCTCACAAGCACCTGTTAGTTTGTGGCAATGCCCTCAACTGCTGATATGAGACGTCATTGCAGAGGGAGGTACTCTTCTGCCTTCCAGATGTTTTGTATTACAGTTGCCATCATTCTTAGGGTTGTGCTCTGTGGGGTTTATGAGAGTAGGAGTCCAAAATCTTCAGAGCTGTTAAGGGGTTAACAGCTCTCATTTATAGAAAGATTTATAAATCACCATTTCCCCTCCACCCACCCGTTCACAACAATAAAGGAATCTCCTAATATCCTAAAGCCTCTTTAAAAACAGATCAAATAAAAATTGTCATGAAGGAAGTCAAAACATATTAAAAGCAGCCTCTCAAAATAAAATTAAAATGTCATGTATGCCTGCATGAAAGCCATGAAGGAAGAAGCCAGTAAACCTGTCTTGGCAGAAAAATCAGTTTTTAAGGTGTTGCCATCAAGAAAGGCATCTGTGTGTGACTGCCGGCTGTAGGTCTGTTAGGGGCAGAACACAGAGCAGGTTCTCTGAGGACTGTGATTCAAGGCTGAAGAACCTGTGGCCTTCGAAATATTGTTGAACACCAACTCCCATCACCCATATCGCCAGCAATTCTGGAGATTTTGGTGGACTAAGGATGTTTCAATTGAGTGGATGACCCAAAATGTCCTGCTTTGGGGTGTAATCACCAGTTCAAGTATCATT